AAGATCTACAGAAACTGCCCTGGTAGAGTTGACTGATGTAATCCAGGATGCACTGACAAACAAAGAAACGGTCGTGTGTGCCTTCCTAGACATAGAAGGAGCTTTTGACAACACGCCACACGAATCTGTAAAAAGAGCACTTGCATACAGAGGAGTAGATAACACCACATCCAGATGGATGGCTCAGCTGTTATCTACGAGAACTGCAGAGACACAGATAGGGCAGGACACCATCTCCATCTGCACAACCAGAGGATGCCCACAAGGAGGAGTTCTATCCCCACTAATGTGGAGCCTAATCGTAGACGAACTTCTATGCAGATTGACTGACCTCGGCATACCCTGTCAAGGTTATGCCGATGACATAGTCATATTTGCTAGTGGCAAGTTTAGTAATATCCTGTGTGATATAGTCCAACGAGGATTAGAACATACCAAAAGATGGTGCCGTGAAGTGGGACTTAGTATAAATCCTACAAAAACAACAATAGTATCCTTTTCAAGGAAAAGAAAACTTAATCTCAAAACCGTTAAATTAGACGGGATAGATATAGAATGGAAAAATGAAGTCAAATATCTAGGCCTAACCCTGGACAACAAACTTCTCTGGAACACACATGAGAAGGAAGTAGTAAATAAGGCCACAAAAGCCCTAATGGTATGCAGAAACATTGCAGGTAAACGATGGGATGTAACCCAAACATACTGCGATGGATATATACTGAAATAGTGAGACCAATCATCACTTACGGGGCTATAGCCTGGAGTAACAGAACTAGTTTAGTTACTACGAGAGCTAATATCTCAAAAGTACAAAGACTAGCCTGTGTTTGCATTACTGGTGCAATGAGAACCTGTCCTACGGCCGCAATGGAGGTGATCTTAAACCTCACCCCTCTACATTTGATGATAGAGAATGTGGCAAAAAGGACACGATATAGAATGATCAGGAACGGAGTAATCAGACGAAAGTCTACTTGCTTCAGGACTAAAGATAGCTGGGACATGCCCCAGGATGAAATGCAAAAGAAGTACAGTTTTGTGAAAAACTTCAAAACCACAGAGCTGGGCTGCAAGAAAGAATGGAGCCAAGAATCCATCGCGCTTGCAACCGAAAGACGTGCTATTCAGTGGTATACGGACGGTTCCAAAACCATAGAAGGAACTAGAATAGGAGTGTATGGGCCGAGAACCAAGCATTCCGAAAGCTTGGGAAAATACCCAAGCATCTTCCAGGCGGAAATTCACGCCATCGAGAAGTGTATCCAGTTTAACATCGAGAGAAACTATCATAGACAAGAGATTATCATCATGTCCGATAGTCAAGCAGCCATCAAAGCGCTGAGTTCTTACGTAATCAGCTCAAAAATGGTCTGGAGATGCCTAGAACAATTGAGTGAGCTAGGCGAGAAAAATAGAGTTACTCTCACTTGGGTCCCGGGACATAACGGGGTACAGGGTAACGAGATTGCAGATAGTCTTGCAAGGAAAGTGGCCCAAACACCCTTTGTAGGACCTGAGCCGTTCTGCGGTATCAGCAGTAACATAATATTAGGAGAGATTAAAAAAGAATTGGGTAGTAGAAGAACCGATAATTGGAACAATCTCTTGGGGCTGAGACAGGCCAAGATACTTCTGGGTGAATATAACCAGAAAAGATCGGAAGCTTGCATCTGCCTAAGCAAGAACAGGCTACGTATTGTAACAGGGATCCTTACCGGGCATTGCCGACTAAAAGGACACCTAATTAAACAGAGAGTAGTAGAGGATAGTGAGTGCAGATTCTGTGAGGAGGAGGACGAAACCTCCATTCACATCTTAACTGAATGTGTAGCAGCACTCCAGAATCCAAGGGCACTATATCTAGGAGGATATCAAATAGAAGAGGGAGATTTACCTAACTTGAAGCCACTTCAAATCCTACACTTCCTTGAGAAAATAGGATTGGAAGGGTCGCTATAGGCATTGAGACATTTCCTTAGTGCAGTGGCGACAGAAGGGGGCACAATAGATCTTTTAGGTCGCAGTGTATTAACACCCCATTCTCAACATAACATAACATACCCAACATATCCACGTTGTGATAATGTTAATTAAGATAAACCAGGATTCGATACAAAGTTTGGTGCAAATTGATAAATAAAACAAATTCATGTTTAAACTCTTTTATTTTTCATACTTTAAATGTGGTGCAATAATTAGCAAAGTATATTACATTTGTTACTATTTACTGAGATCTCACTTGAGTCCCGTTCAAACGCGGACCACGTTCATTTGCTATCAGGATATATTTTATCACTAAATCATTAATAATATACTTTCCAAATTATCTGTGAAGATATCTGATGAATTACAATATAAGTTAAAGTTATTACACATAGAATATTTGTTCTAGATCTGTTACAATAAAGAATTAAATATCTGTTATTATACCGGGGATCATTTAAATTAATTTTACCTGAAATAGCAGGACAATCAATTAATTCATTCCTGATTTTATGTAAAGAAATCAAAGAAGCTAGAATTCTCCGAAATTCAAGACTATCCATGTTAAAACTAATCAAAAGTAGCTGATAATCGATCCCTCTTGAAGGGTAGACAACATTTAATTTGAAAGCTAAATATTTCAAAAATTTCCTTTGAACATATTCAACACTAATAATGTGAATATTATAGTAGAGATACCAGCTAGTTGAAACTGAGATCTCACTTGAGTCCCGTTCAAACGCGGACCAGGTTCATTTGCTATCAGGATATATTTTATTTTGCTTGATGACCAACAGAGTTAACGAACAGCGTCATTTCGCCAGTTGGCTAACTACTGTGTTGATGTTTATTTTCTTATTTAGGTTGATGACCAACGAAGTTAACGACCAGCGCCAATTCGCCAGTTGGTTAACTACTGTGTTGATGTTGATTTGATTCTATTATTCTAAATATTGATTTTATAATTTCTATTGAAATGACTTAATACAACCTTGTATATTTTTTAATATTGATTATTATAATTTCTATTGAAATGATTTAAATTCACCCATCGAAAACAGATGTCTATCCTAACTCTCTTTCGGGGTGTATGACCTGAAGGCCATCTGGTTTATTGGAAGGAAATATTTAGGGACGGCAAGCGTCGAAAAATAAGGCGTGGGACTTTGACAGCGTTCGGGGGATAGAAGATATTGTAGGATAGACGTTGTTCAGGAAGAGCGTTTTAGGAAAGGTACTGACTACTGAACTTGATATATAACTGGATACAAATAATAAATGAATGTTCAAATAATAAAATTGAATGCATGTACATCAAATAATAAAATGAATGAATCCGAACTCCACAATCATTCTGTCATTAAGACTTCAAAATATAATTAAATTAATTTGTATCGACTGAACGTTTTTTAATAAAGCTCGATATTAATAATATTTTTCAGGTCATAGAAAAGAAAATCATACATATAATACTTTTGAATGGCTTACTAGAAATATCCAATTTGGAGATTGGCGCAAAAAAAATTTCAACTTTATTTTTCTTCCAGATTTATGAGTTAGAACAAACAAAGTCCCTTTCCCATTAATCAGGAAATGTACCTTTCTCGAGCGATTTATTTAATATCAGAAATAGGGGTTCTATTGAGGAATCTTGACATTTCTTAATAAAACATGTAGGTAATTCATCCGAATCAGTACTCTTATTGGTTGGATTGTAATTTTTGTAGCAATGATAACTCGGGTGATATTGTATTGAGTAATTGCGGCACATAGAATAACAGTGGTCCATCTCCATATAGGGCTATTTTGAGATATTGAAGTGTTTTCAAAATTATTACTCGGAACAGTTTCTATTTTGAAAAACTATTATGGAATTTCGGACAAAAAGTAAAATATGGAGACTAACTTTATACTGAGAGATATACATTATACAACTCATTTTAAATTGAAGGCAGCTACATGAAAAAAAGTGGAGTTTTTTTTTTCGATTTATGGCCTAGGTGTATATACCTAATATGCCAGTCTCAAGTTTGTGTTTTAAATTCTCAATCATGTGTGTTCTGTGTAGGCTTTGTTACTGTTTCTCAGCGCCACTTCAGGAACAGCACTGTTAATTAAAACCCAACAGTGAATGGTCGAGTGGGGAATCCTACCAAGGCATCAGAATTAATTTTAAATAAATAAATTAAATAAAAAAATCCAGGCCAAAGGTGGGATTCGAACCTGGGACCCTTGGATCCATAGGCAGAGACTCTACCACTGAGCCACCCACCCCCTAAAAGTGGAGTTAGACCACTGTTATTCTTTGTGTCTCAATTTTTAATGGGGCATTAATTTGGGATTGAAAAATTACTAATACTGCTTGTAACAAAACCAGAGGAGAAATAGTCAAAGAAAGTGTTACAAATTGATAGTAAAATCAGTAACAGCCCACCCCTTCCCTCCGAGGAGTCAATAAATTATAAATAATAGTTTGACACTGTACTCTATTTTTTACAAATTGCCAAAATTATTTAGTATTCTTTGTAATCCTCGTCTATTAGAAATTTTAAATGTTAAATAGTCTAAATCATTGTTATATTGCTTCCATCGAAAGTGAAACTTAAGCTATTCTTTAATTACTTTTATAGTCGAAATGGAAAATCAATGGAGTTATTTTTTACAATTATTTTGGAATTTTGTTAAGAATGGGATAGAAAATACTTACTCTTCTATTCTAGGCCCGATGATAACCTTTGGGTCGAAACTGGTAATTTATGTGGTACAGATTTTTCTATTTTTTAATTTGGTGCTATCGGCATTAACTACTTAGGTTATTAGCCTCGAGTTCTGAGTAGGCTTTGTTACTGTATCCCACCGCCACTTAAGGAACAGCAGATGATTTATTATTATTATTATTATTTTGTCTTTTATAAAGATAGTCCCATTTTAGCAGTTTAATACCCTTCACAATTTAGTTTTATTTTTGAAAAGGGGTGTTTTTAGATTTGAATTAATAGAATTTTTTTTTGCAGGATCATTAATAGAACCGCATTCTCCGGTATGGTTCGAACAAGTGAAAGACGACGAAATGGATGACGTGTCCCATTACGTTTACAACGGCAAATACTGGGATGCAAAAGCAGCACAAGACTGGTCTATGTGTCCTGATATATTTTAATTAGACACTCTTATAATTTATTTTAGAACTCCCAACATTTTCTCTCCAGTTCCATATCGATTTTAATTTTTATTTATTTGTATGGCTAAGGAATTGTACAGGTAATGGATATAACCGAGTATTATAAGTGGTTTGTTGAAAAAAAAAAAACGGTGTACTAATATTTACTTATTTTGTTTTTTTTTTTTTTTGTAAATATTGAAAAATATTTAAAATGAGTCAACATCAAATTTACAGTTTTTTTCTTAATATGTGATAATGTAAATATATTGCTTATACAGTTAAATGTGGTTTTATTTTTGTTTTGGCCCTTGCATGAATTATGTTTATAATGGTAAGTAAAACTATTTATCAGTTTGTTAATAAATGATGACCTCTCTATCTACATCAGTGGGTCCCAAATTTTTTCTTATGACGCTCCTCTTTTTGAAATAAACAAAGAAGTGACTGAAGTAATAAAATACGATGTACTAAAAGACACGCTATTAGGAATGGAAATCTTAAATGTAGACCTATTTTACAATAAATTGGACTAGGTATAATAGAAACACGTGTGAAACAACAATTTCCATACCTGTATAACGTAAAAGTGAAGTATTTTAATGAAACCTACAAGGAATGATCACGTGTACAAAACTAGACAAAGAGAAATAGATGTTACTTTAAAAAAATAACAATTTCTCGGAGATCACACTTATTTTAAGGTCCAAAGTTTTTTAATAAAGTACCGGATCGGAAAAAATATTGCATCAGTAAGTTTAGTTAAAATAATTCACTTTTTTAAGTGAAACAAAATATATATACCATATAAAAATTTTTTTTGTTTTGTAAAAAAATATTCTTCATAAAAAATTCTGCATGGTCTAAAACTTAAAATACAACCATCGTATATAACATTTTTTTTTTTCAGTAATGTACAGGGTTTGTCGAAAAATTTGAATTTTATTCAAAAATGCAAAAACAGCTTTATGATTTGCAAAATTAAATGGAATTATTTATGCCAAACAGTATTAAATAAAGATCGTTTTTCGTGATAGATTGAAAATATTGGATATCTAATCCTAGTTTTGAATTATTCTAATCAACTTTTCTTGACAATTTTCGATATGGTTCAAAATAAAGGTACTTTACTCGCGTAAAATTTATATTTTTTTATAAACCTCGTACATAAGTGAAAAAAATGTTTTATCTGATGGATGTATTGAAGGTTTAAGACCGTGCAGAACGGTTTATGAAGCATAACTTTTTTGCTTAAAACTAATAATAAAATTCATTATATGTTGTCGAATTAAAAGATTTTTTTTATAAACTTTAATTTAGAGATTGAATTTCTACTAATAAATTTATAATTTAACATTAGTATTTCACACAAGGTTTTCGTGTTGTGGTTATTATTGAATTTATTCACGTTTATTTTTTGTAATGTATTTCGTTTCGTTGTATTATCTTTTTCTATTAGAGAATAAATTATTGTACGAACAATTTACTCGAGTTGTACAGTATCTTCTCTACTGTCGTCGGGTCTCGCTCGGGTGAAGGTTGTTTATTTGCCCTGACCCCGCTCTTTCGCTAAGAAGGGGTCGTGAGGGAGATATGGTCGTACTGGTGGATAATTCGGAGAGCGTAGAGAACTCCTCGAACTCACCAACACTGTGAACCACTTCACCAGGGAAACTTCCCCCTGACCTACATTTGCCGTGTGTAGGCCGACGCTCGATGGGGGTATATAGTGATTGGAGTCCCAATTCAAACGAATTGGGTACTCTCAGGGTAGGTTCTGGCCCAGACGGCGGGATTTGGCAAACCGTCGGGTTGTGTCGTTAGTTTGAATATTTTTAAAATTATAAAAATCATCTAAATTTATAGCCGAGTTCGGCTGTCTCCACAAGGTGGCATTTTGCTCTGGGGCGGGAGTAACCGGGTAAAAGCCATAGAACTCTCCCCGTGTACCATGCCCTTCGTTAAAATGTTAAAATGAATTGATTTTAAAGTATATTAAGTTAGTTAACTAAGTGACGATAAAGGTTCTAAACTAATGAATTTATTTAAAAATAAAGAAATAATAAAAACAAAATAAAAGCCTCTCCCTCAGTCAAGCGGGTTCGATAGGGGAAGGTGAATGTCGATTAGCAAGTAAACGACAATCACTAGGATAGGATATAAATAATAGTTAATTAAATAAAAAGAAATGAGCCACTTTACTATAACGAGGCGTCTCCAAATGGCTGAAAAACAAACAAGGTCAAGGTCGTTCGCCAGAGAAAGCTTGAAATGAAAACAGAAAAAGCCGGAGGTTCTTACCAACCAACAATATTATTGGCAAATGACACTATAAATAAATGGCTGCTACCCTTGACACCTGTCAGTCCGACCTGTGAAAAAAGAAAATCCGTTACAGGTTCCGCGCCTAAAAATGCCGGCAAGCGGGAGGGAAATTGAATGGAGACAGCCCTATCACTTTTAAATGGGAAACGATGTACTCCTCGTCTCCCACGTAATTAGAACAGACTCACCCAATGTAATTATCCCACGGAGGGGCGTTAAAAGCAGGAGGATCGCAAGAGAGTCGAGGAGAATGCGCAAAATACCGGCTTATTTCTCTGCTAGAATCCTCTTTCCTTAGTAAACCCTTATGTTGATCGACTCAGACAATCGTGGAGTGATGATTTTAAAACTTGAAGTAATCCTTTTTTTTTTGCTAATGATGCACTACCCGCACAGAAAATCGAAATTGCACTATATTCGCGGAGCGAGCAGTGTCGATTAGAAAAGTTAAAGATCTACTGCTGTTTTTGCGGGAAACACTTATATTTATGTCTCTAATTCTTGGCTCCGCCCATAAGTAAAACAATTACGTAATTGGCTAAAGCTCTTTGGAATCGTTTGAAATTTGCAACGGCTGTATATTTGAAATTTAAACTATGTCTTTTTAGGATGAATAATAATGAAAAATTGATTAGAGGATAAAGTACTTTTTAGAAAGTTAGAAGAGTTGTACATGGATGTGATATATTAATAAGACATAGTTTGGACACGCGAATTAATTTGGATTTTTGTGATGTCTGAAATATTTCTGCGTATGTAGGTATATTTCATTCGGGTATAAATGAAATACGGAAATATGAATGTTTGAAGTTGTTCCCATTAGAAAGAGTAACTAGTCTCCGAACTTTAGGATTACTTCGTGATTGATTATTTAGTATGAATTGAATATTAAAAATTAAAATAACTTTTCTGGCTTTCGAGTATGAATGTCAGATGTAAAACCACAAGTACTTGTGTCGACGTAAGAGTGACTCTATATGTGTGATTGCAAAAATGAGTGTTTGCGGATTCGGTTAATTGGGGTACTTATGGTGTCCATACACATAGGGTATCGTTGCGGAGCTGCAACTCGGGTAAGAATTGGATCGACGCTACGGGACCCTATGACACTACGACCCACTAAGAAAAGAAAATTTTAAAAATTAAATTAAAGATTATAAATTGATTTAATACACAACGCTTAAAAAATGTTCCAAGAAATATTGTACCCACGAAAGCGTTCCCACATTTCTTACATTCAGGCCGTAAAAATATAAGATTTAAACGGGAGTGTGTACGCTGTAACCAATGATATCCGTATATATTTGTATTTCATAATATGATTACTGTTTATAATTCCTTAATTGAACAGACACAACCATAGAAATCAATAAACTATAAAAAAGTTAAATAATTTTATTATGAGATATTCATTTTAGTCCGATATCTTTCCGGATATTTTGTTTACTTAAAGCACAACACCGCTCTCGAGAAAAATTATTGTCAACTGTGGTATTCCTGATAAATCTATCAAGTGAGTGAAACAGAATATTGAATGAATAATCTTATAGGTACTATACGTTTTTACAATTGTTTACCTGTTAATTGGCCGGCGCCGTAAGCTTGGGTCCGGCCTGGTCTTTGGATAGATGTATTATCCATGGATGTACGAAATTTTTATCGTTTGAGCTCAAAATGTTCAATTTTATTAATAAAAATAAGGTTAACACTAAACAAATAAAATCACAGAGTCTCAATCAATTAATACTTATCACAGACATTCTGACTGGACATTGCCAATTTCGGAAGCATCTCCGTATCATGGGGCTGTCAGAAAGTGCACCTCTGCATGGGATGCGAACAAGAAGATGAGACCATCGAGCATATCCTCTACGATTGCCCGACGCTCTCATTTATTAGATTTGTATTCGGCGAGAATTGACTAACATCGGCCGATATTAGAGAGCCACCTCTTCGCGACGTTGTCAACTACATTAAATCTGTAGGCTGGCTCACGAGCTAGGAGGTGGCTATCTACTTAGGAGGATGCCCAATGGGCCTAGTGAGGCCTAAGTGCCGTGAGTGAACCCACCCTCCACACGTTACAGATGCAGAACACGTATAGTGTATGTATCAGAATCACCCGATGACAACATACTACAACCCCACTATAAGAAATTATTTATTTATTTATTTGTTACATCACCCAACAGTAATCACCATTTACTGGGTGGGAAAGACAAAACATTAGAATATAAATACAAAATTGTTAAAAATCTATACAATACAATGTAAACATCCAGAAAAAAAACTGATCATATTGATGCCTACCCAACAAATACGAACCAATCAATTGAATGATTTGATCGCATAAACTAATGGAACTTAACTTGTGGTGCAAGATGGAATGATCAATTTTGTCGAAGGCCTTAGAGAAATCTGTGTATATTACATCAACTTGACTTCTTCTATCCAAGGCTTCCGAAATGAATTGTGTCGAACATACAATTAAGGTTTGTAACTGTAGATCTATTTTTCATGAATCCATGTTGGCCACAAGATATAAGACGGGAAACATGATTGGAAATACGATCGTGAGTAATTATTTCGAATACTTTAGCAAAATAATTACAAACATTATTTTTGCTACCTTTTTTATGTACCGGAGTAATTCTGAAAATGTTCCAGGCAGTAGGGAAAATACATGTTTTCAAAATTAAATCAAAAATATGTTTCAACGGAGTGGCCAAAATTAGTGCACAAGTCTCTTAAAAGAAACGAAGGAATAAGGTCAGTACCTATTGACATATTGGGCTTAAGCTTTTTTAGAGCTCTAATAACTTCATCTTGAGATACAGAATTAAAGTGAAGCAAAGGTAAATTAATGGTAGATTCGTGGATGA